TAATTGTTTCATTCATTATTTCATTTTGTGTAATACTTTGAAGGACCTCGAATATACGCATACATACATAGATAGATACATATATATTCTCACATAATTAGCAATTCAAATTAAGCACAAATATAATTTAATATATTCTGTAGTACATATATGTATGTGTGTGTGTGTATTGCTGCGTGTGTGTATTTTTTTTAACCTATACAAGCATACATATATAAATACAGGTGTGTGTATGTGTGTGTGTGTGTGTTTTTAATATTGCTAAGTTTTAGTTTTCGATTTCGTTTTTTTTTTTTTTTCTGCATATAATATTTTTCTTAAGTTTCGAATATGTTTAATCAATTAATGTTTAACTTTAGAGCGTGCTGAACGCAAAAATTAACAAAAACAAAATAATAGATGTAGCGTTTCATTTCGACTTTTATAAAAACAAAAAAAAAAAAAATATATTGTTTGTTTTTTGTTTTATATATATAAAGTAGCAACGTTGCGCAATACAAGATTTTTTTTTTATAATTGTAGATAGATAACAATACAGTAGGTTTAACAAATATCAATATCGATAATAATAGTATTTAGTAATAATAATAATTACAATAGCATAGGAAGTAATAACAGCATTCATTCTTTGTTTATGTTGGTATTGTTTTGCTTCTTCTTCTTAGTATTCAATTCCATTTGTAGTTGGATTATATTATTTTTATATATTTTATATGTGCTTTTCTTTTATCTAACAAAAACAATATTAATTATATCGCTTATTTTTATAATAATTACATAAATATTCAACAGCAAGGTTTTCCCATTCCGACTAGCCAATGCAATTTGCCTATAAAAGTTGATATTTAAAAACAAAATAAAATGTGACGGCCTAGCTGCATTTATTGTGCTTAAGGGACTACCCTCATTGTATGTGAGTTGGTTCAATTGGTTTGGTAATCGGAATAGTTTCGTTTAGTGTTTTTCTTTTGTTGCTTTTTTAAACAATTTAAGCTAAGAAAGAACGTTTAAAATCGCACAAAATACAATTAAAATACATATACAAATAAAAGTTTGCGTGTTTGCCTTTCGTTTTTTTTTTATATTTTATACATAATAAATAACAGTTTTTTTATTAGGTTTTCGCTTTGTTTTGTTTTTTGTTTTTTTTTTTTTTTTCATCTAATTTTTTTAAATCTGTTTTTGTTTTGTTTTATTGTTATTGTTTTTAATTTATTTGTAAGCTTTGTTGTCTATTTATTGTTTCAGTTGATGATCGTGTCTCGCTCGCTTTTGAAGCCCGCGTTGTTGATTGCCTAAATAGTTTGCAGCTCGGCTGCTCAGTATGTGGCCTAACGACGTTGGCTTCGTTCTTTGTCGGAGAATCGATAAGTGTTATCGATAACACAGTGACGAATGAAATGTTTGCTGAATCGTTAAACCAATAACTGCTGCTCGATAACCTTTTCATGTTAATCGATATACTGATAACGATTGTTGTATTTTGTTGCCTAGTTAGCTATTTACTTATCGATAGACCGCTATCGACAGTCCCTCTGAATGAAGTTGTTCATTGCACCCAGCTGAATTTTAAACATTGAAACGCGTCTCCGAACCATCGGCCAACATCAACGTCACGGTTCGATTATTAATCCAGACGAGCTTGGCCAATCGCATCGGATTCAGCCGCGAAACATCCGGTATGGGAGCCGTGGAATAGCCCTTGGTGCAGCGCGTCTGCGATTGACCCAAGCCAAACATGCCGGTGCTTGTCTGCCAGAAGGACAAGCGATTCTCGGCACACGAATAGGACACCAGGTATTTGCCATCTGGCGAGAAGGCCAACGAGGTAATCGGATGCGTATGGGCGGGGATCATTTGGCACTTGTTCTGCCTCAGCTCGTATATGGCCAAATTTCCGCTATTGGCGCCAACAGCGATGCGTCGGGTTTGGCTGCAATGCGAAATTTGATTGAATTTGCATATAGACGGACAGAGTTCGGCCAAGCCGCGACCCTTTAGCTCATTGCTATCGACGCAATGGAGCGCAATGTCCATCACTTCCACCAATAGACCAGCGATCTCTGATTGCATTTTATCGATCAGCATCTCAACGCATTGCAATATCTCGCCCTTGGCCTTGTACAGCACAGATTGGGTGAGCGGCGTATTGATCGACTGGGCATTCTGTTGCATTGTATTATATCGAGCCACCTCCCTTGCCATGGTCGTAATAAACGCTGCTGGCCGTGCGGTGGCAATCAGGCGCAGTGCATGGCGGGCGGTGCGACAGGCATCGGCTTGTGGGGTCAGGGGTAGTTTATAATTGAGATTTGGCACCGACTTGCCCTCACAGGAGATCTCTAGCAGGCCTAGTAGCACCTTCGAGACATCCAGATAGGGCTCCCAAACGGTAAAGCCACGCCCAAGAAGATCGATGGCCGCACGACGCAATGGCGTATATTGCGGCAGCTTGGGGGATGGCGGTGCATACAGCAGATGAGCTAGCGCCATGGAGGTGAGCCGAGCCAAATTGTTGGCGATGCCGAAGCCTTCGACCACCGAGGATTTGCGTCGTTCGGTGTTGGTATGACCCAGGCTAATGCTGCCGCGATGGTTCGGCGATTCCTGTGAAATGTCCTGACCGAACTCAGCACCAATCACGCCCAACAGGATCACAGCGGTGGTCTGCTTGCGCTTCAGCTCTGACAGACTGGACGGCTTGCGTATGATCTCCTCTTCCTCCTCCTCATAGTCCTCATCCTGTTGATCACTGGAGCCCACACCGGTGCCACCAGCTGACATGCCCTGACCGCCCGACATCGCGCCGCTGCCGTTGCCCATTGAGGAATTGATACCAGTACCAGTACCAGCACCACCACCACCCGAACCACCCGCCTGGTTGTTCGTCATGGCCGCCACCTGCTGAGCGCCCACAATTGGCTCGGTGTGCGTGTAGAGCGGCAAATACTGTGCCCAGCTCTCCACGAGCTGTTTGCGCCCCTTCTTGCCCATGCGAGTGAGCTCGCCCAGTAGTATTTGCTGCGCTGCCTCGCGTATCTCGATGCAATGATGCTGCCAGCGCTTGACCATCATCTCCACCTGGGGACGCTTGAATTTCTTTGGCTCCAACGCCTCAATCTTATCGGGCAGCAAGAAGCAATGGTGTGTGGACAACAGACTCCAGCCCTGCTTGATCTGTGAAGTGTGGTGGGCGAGCAGCTCTTCCTCAGCGCCTTGCGTTGACTCAGCATACTGGGCCAGCCGCTGCAGCTTCTTGTGCTTCTCGCTATCTGGAAGGAACGAGGCGGCGCTCATCGACATCAGCGTATTGGACATGGCCACCAAGGCCAGTATATGATTCGATGTCAATGTGGTGCTTAGCTCCCAGTGCAGACGAGAAGTGAAAATGGCTGTCAAGTGCTCCAGACGCTGCAATTCCTCAGGCAACATGCGTTTCTTGGAGCTGGAGGGCAATTGCAATCCCGGTGGTATCTCGTAGTTATTCTGCCAAGTGGGCAACAGCAATGACATATAGCCGGCCTTGGACAAAACACCGTAAGAGATGGGTACAATGGGACGCAGTAGACCCAACTGGGATTCGCAGACTTTGTCTAGATGCGGATCAAGGCCCCAGGAATGGAGCAGCGACAGCAGCAGCTGGGCCACTTCCATGACATGAGTGACCTCCATTTTGGATGCAATCTTGCTCTTTAGATCCTGTGGCTGCTCCTCATGCGTCTCCACGGCCTTCTGCAGGCTCTCCACTTTGGCCTGCACCTTTTTCTCAACAATTTCCGTCTTCTCCTTGAACTTCTGTACAAGCCCGTGCTTATCCTTGTCCTTGAGTATCTTCTCAACATCGACAGCCTTATTCTTGACCTTGCTAAAGAAGTCGCCGATTTTCTTGCTCGCATCGATGTGCATCGATTTGCCGTCTTTGGGATGTTGCAGATGCACGCCCAACGCCTCCAACGTTGCGGGCGTCATCTGCGCATATTCCTCGCTGTGCAGCTCAAATATCAATCCCTCGATGTCGAAGAAGAGAATGTGACTCTCGGCATCCTTGGGATTGGTGCGCAGGCCCTGTATGACCAGCGGATTGCTGCGGTGCTTCATCAGGAAATCAAAATTGCCCTGATTGTGGCCCTGTAGCTGCTGCAACTGATGGATGCCGCGTTGTGTGGCGTGCCGTATGGCATTCATGTTGCGCGACTTGAGTCCCCGGAAGAAATGCACTGCCGGATTGGCCATACCCATCTCGCTGGCTGAATTGGCTGCGTTGCTACCTGAGCCACCGCTGCCATCCTCCAGCGCCTGCTCATCGCAAGCTGAAAGCACCTCCTCGGCTAGCATGCCATGCAGCACACGATCCAAGTGACCCGTTTCCATTTGCCACACATAGACGCTGCCATCGGAGCAGCCGACAATGAGGAAATCATCGAGTGGACGCCATTTGATGGTCACAACCGGAAACAGATGTCGACTGGCCAGCGTGACGCATTTGCGCTCCTGCAAACTGACCAGGGTAACTGAATGATCCGAGGCCACCGAGCAGATACACTTGAGTATGCGTGGACTGCAGCTCTCGGGCGGCACCAGCAGCTGTGTAATCTCTCCCGCATGCACGCAGAACCGATGCAACAGACTGCCGCTATACAAGTCCCACAGGCAGACAGCGAAATCAATGCCACCCGAGAGCAGATGGGACTTCTCATAGCGTGGATGTACCATCGAGGGGCACAGCAGGCAATTGACACGTCCGCGATGCCCGTAGAGTATCTGATGCGATGGCCAATCACTGAAATTCTGCTTGATGCCGACGAGCAGTTGCATCATAACCGTCTGTGTGGCCGGCACAATGACAATGCTGCCATCCTCGCGGCCAATGACCAAGCGACTCTGTTGCGGCAGATATATGCTCGATGTGAGCTTCACCGGTGAGTCGGTGATACGCGAAAGCTGATCAAGTATGCCCACAGGCGGCGGATCCATCATCGACCAGGCCTCCACGAGTGAAGTGCAGACATGCGGCTTCTGTATGCGCGGCGGCATTTGCTTTGCCTGCAATATACTAATATTATCCAATGGCACCTCCGGCACATTCCACACCGAGATGTAGCCCTCAGAATCGCCGCGCAGCAAAAAGTGTGACTGTTGACCCATTAGGAGTTTCATCGCTGGCGGACAGGAGAGCACCTTATCTCCGGCATGCTGCAGCACATAGTACAGATAGGGTGCGTCGCGTACGACGCTCTTTGAATGAAACTCCTTATTGTCTGGTATGCAATTGGCTGGCAATTTATACAAGTACCCTTTGCCCTCGTCCGTCCACAGCATAACGCGATCTGAGGTTATGAAATCACCGCCCTGCCAACGTTCGCGTGCAGGCGCAATAACGGAGCAGAGTACTGTAAAATCGCCAGCATCATAGATCTGCCAATATTTGGTGCAGACGAGGAGCACCGTGCGCTGATTCTGGGCACAACAATTCATGGTGATGGCGTTCAAGCATCGTATCTCCTTCGACTCATTCTCATAGATGGGCTCCGCATGCTTGTTCTCGTTGCCCGTCAGAGTCCAGACCTTGACGGTGCCGGTGGTCGTGATGGCCAGCACGACATCGTCTTTGCGACGCATTGGACGTAGCACGTGTATGGCTGAAATCCAGTCCGGCTTCACCTTTGAGCTGAGCACGTAAATAACTTCGAGACTGAATGGATCCATGACCATGATTTCAGCATAGTAGCCAATGCAAAAGAGACGCACGTCTTCGCTGTTGGCCGTGTGATAGCTTTGGATTTGTGTGTGCACCTGTGGCAGCTTGACAGCCTCAGTGCATTTGCCGTCGATCAGATCCCAGGTGCACATCTCACCATTCTCCGACGAGCTGACCAGAAAATTATTATCCGGCAGCAAAGAGGCGCGCACCAGGCACAGCACCGGCGCCGAGTGACCAACGAGCAGGCAACGCGGTGACATCTTCAATGTGGCTGGCTCCACTTGCCAGAGACAGATCTGTCCGTCGTAGCAGCCGGTGACCAGCGTGCATTGATCATCCGATAGAAAGACGCTCGATATGCAATGTGTCGGCGCTGTGGGACCCCACAGCACCACTGGCACCACCAGATTCGTACTGACCATGGTTATTTATGGTATGGAGACCTGCAACCACTAACCACGACACCAATACCAGCGCCGACTCCTCCTCCTCCTCCTCCACTGATGTGGCCTATGCTCGCTCTATGATGCGTCTGTCCACCTCCCTGGATGTGCGTGCGTTATTTATTGAATATTTTCGCAAATATCAATTTCGATTTATGGCAGCCGCTTCTCCAGTTGTCGTTCTCTGTAAAAATTTATTAGTAAACATTGGCCTACCACGTTTCATGGCGAGGCTACACCTGAAACTGCGCTCGTGCGTGTGTGTAAACATACAGTGAACATTCTTGACGGCGCGCCAAATCAATAATTATCAGCCCTGCTACATTTGTGTCGCTGCTCAAAAGCGATATATGTGTATTCTCACTTTTAGAATGTAATTTGACACCAAAATGGTTGTTTACTGAAGCTTTGCACTTGATACAACACATTACTCGTATTGTTTCAGCTTTGATTCTATTGCATTTCGTTTTCTTTGTTTTTCTCGTATGGAACTTAATCGCAATACAAATTTATCTAAGGCGAAGAGAATCTGATATCTAACGCACCTACGGAAATAGAATGTTAGCTGATAATGCGGCAGCTGATAACAATGTAAGTTGTTGCGGTTAACGCTAATCTCGAGAACGGCTCAATACAATTAAATTGTTTTGTGTTAATACAAACAACAACAAATTATAATAATATAACAAACAGTTCTCGAGATAAGTTCATGCACACATTGGAGGTGACAGAAATTTAAGCGAACAGTAAACTTTACAAGGAGTGAAAGAACATAGTGAATAGAGTTTGGGTATTGCATAAGTTTGTAATACAATTCAATGTATAATATAGTTAGTCGTGCTGCCAGTGGGAATGTTTTTTTAAAGCAAAATTAACAGTATTTGGCAAGTGAGTCATGTTGCCGCCTTCTAAGTCGAAATTGGACTATATATGTATGTATATTTTTCACACTCCAACAGTCCATTAACAAAAACCGCATTTGAATTAAGCCATTTGTTAGTTGTTAACTGACAAAAGCAACTGTCGAAAAAGTGAAATCATGAGCTGTGTAGCTCATGATTTTTGTTATAAATATTTTTTGTTTTTTAATTGTAGCTAAGGTGCACTATTTATATAGATTACTGTAGTGACTTAAGAGAGATTGCAGAGTCAGCGTATTGAATATCAAAAGATAAACAGAGCACACTCACTCACACACACACACACACACTCAATAGACAAACAGAATTYTGTTATACAATTGAGGCGCGCTGGAGACAACCTTGAGGGGTAAAATAAAGCCCCCACCGAACACCCCCTTAGGCAAACAATATGGGACCAGGATGAGACAAAATGTAAAAGGAAAACGAACAAATAAACTACGCTTCGAGTTGATTTCTAGACAATAAAGACACTATATATATATGTATATACCTATAGTTATATTTATATGCACGATATCTGTCTGCTATAAGACAATAAAGTAAGTAAATGGCAAGTGTGCCAATTACGCTGCCGGACGAACGGATGGAGCAGCGAGTGGACAATGTGACATGTGTGTAAATATGTACACACACACACACACACACATACACATACATACGTCTGTCTGAAAGTACGTCAGCAGGCTCTGCTCTGTGGGCAATTAGCTGCAATAACCAAAACAATATGGAACAGAGCGCTCATCGAATTCTATAATATGCTAAATTAATTGAATGACGACGCGTGCTTATGCATTTTGAGCTTGACGAACAAAATGTATGTTAAAAGGCTACCCAATTGGGTTGTACACACACACACGCACACACAGAACATCAGTGTAGACCCGCCAATAAATAATAATTGTAGATAACTTAGCATTTAGCTAACATTTTGCTAWTGTTGTTGTTGTTGTTTCCGTATTGGCTAGCGCGTGATAAACTCCTCCCTCGCCGTTCGTTCGATTCGCTTGGATTCGATTCTTTCTTTCTTTCTCTTTATACTTTTGGGTATTTTGCAGGGGGCTATTGATCCTGATCCGAATACTGCATTTTCAGAGTTGTAAATCAGTGTTGGTTACGCAGCACAATTATGGAATGTCGTCGTCCTCGTTGCCGTCTCACGATTCTAATTTGAATACACTCCGCATTTATTTATTTTAATTTATTTAACTTTTTTTTTAGCGATTTACTGCTGAGCACCGTGTGTTGTTGCTATCGCTATCCGTTCAATTACAACACACACACATATATACACAAATACAGCATACATATACACACACACGATGTTGTTGTAGCTCTTTTTGTTATTGCTATCGCTATTAGCGATTTTCTCATATGTATTTATACTATTTTGCCCATTAGGGGTTTTCGCTGCTATATTATAACACTTTCGTACAAACGGTTATTGTACTATTTGACCCTAAGCATATGCGTTCACATTAACTATCACTTGGTTGCCACTTTGTATATTCTATTTGTTTTTCTGTATATACATAATTAACTTTTTTTTATATTTATTTTTATATTTTGGTGCACACGAAAATCTGCTGAGCAGAGAAAAAAGCAATGAAGATATCGACCGTGGCCAAAATTTTGTCGATTAATTGTTAGAGCTGCCGCCACCTCCACCAAATACGATACATTGATGCATTTTTCTAACAGATGGCAACTCTAAACTATAATTTTGATATTTGGCTTAAATGTTAATGTTTTTTAGCGTTTTTTGTTGGCTTGAAGTAGTTATCAAACGCAACAAATTATTCATATGTGTTCTGTGCGAATATGATGATGTCTTATCACTTTTATTTTCTCGATTCTACGTGAATAAATCGTAATATCGTTACCTATTGTCCAACGGATAACGCACTTAATGAAGTACACCCGAACATGCCAAACATGATATCAGTTATTTAAAGTATATTAACTAAAAGTTAAGATTTGCTTTAGCTTTGTATATTGCTAGAGTTTATAGTGTATAAGCATATAATAATATACGGGCACACATATGTAAATAAATAAACACACGCTAGTCAACGAGCTAGGTGTTGCTGTTGCTTTCGTGCAATAGCTAACGATTAAATCACTAAAGAATAGCTTGCACTAAAGAAAACACTGTACTTACCGTCTAATAGTGATGTGTTATATGTGCTGCTAACTTTTGGATCACTTTCCTATAAACTTTTGCCAAAATGCTCTTAACACACACTCTTTTGAATGGCGGCTAGAAAAGAAAATCAGCGATGAGTGTTGTGATATAGGGTTGCTCACGGTACACACATCGACCTATCGAAAATTTTGAACTTTGACAGCATGGATGTACTGATATTAAAAGATCTTCATTCAAAAAGTAAATTTCTTAAATTTTGAGTGCTTAATATAAATGTGTTGCATTTCTGACAGTAAACTAGTTATACAGAAAGGCAAGTTGTTCATATGAGTACAGTGTCACTGACTTTTCAAATGCTGAATGGCAAATATCAGTTCTAAAACAAGATACCTGATTTCGTTACCTTCGATTAATTGAGTATTTCCATTTGGACTGAACTCCAATTAGCATACAGCTATCGCTGTTATCGAAAATGTTCAAGTGTAGCAGTACGACCATGAGGAGCTGCTCTGCAAAGTGGGGAGCAGCTCTGTTTAGTGAAAATAAAAAACAAATGCGGCGCCTGTTACAAAATACCAATGGACAAATATTATTTGTCTCTCAAATTGTGACCAGACATGTGGGTAGCAGCAGTGCATCTGGCGACGCCGTGCACCGGACAAAAAAGGAGCTTCGAAAACCACACCAGCAAGCAACTAACACTATCAGCAGAGAAGACAAATTTGGTGCTAAATATTGCATGGGCCTAGTGGAGTAAGTTCATCTACATCTGTGATACAGTTTTTATTGTGTTTTCCTTTATGCTGCACAGAAAATATGATTATGAGAACTATTTGAGCACCTTGCTGCTACCAAAGGAGTTGCGCCCTTCGGCGTTTGCATTGCGTGCTTTTAATGTGGAGGTCTCCAGGTCCGTGGGCGCTCAGGTAGGTGATGCGATGATAATCGAATTATTAAATGTGCTATTAACATGATAAGCTATTTTCAGGTCACCGAGCCACAAATAGCCAAAATGCGCTTAAAGTTTTGGTATGACTCTATAGACAAGTGCTTCGAGACAGATGCCAACAAATCTTATGTCAAGGATCAGCCGGTGCTGCGTGAACTAAAACGCACCGTAGGCAGCTCCAAGCTTAATAAGTTATATCTACGGCGGATGGTTACCGCACGCGAACGACCGCCCAATCAGGCGTTTGAGACGATGCGCGATCTTGAGGATTACGCGGACCAGACCTGCGCCTCACTGCTGCATCTGCTGGTGCAACTGAGTGGGGTTCAGGACATGCAGGTGGATCATGCCGCCTCCCACCTAGGCAAGGCTCAAGGCATAACCATGCTGTTGCGTGCCATACCCCATGCTGGGCGACAGCAAGCCGTGTCCGTACCGCTCGAAGTGCTCGTCCGGCATGGCGTCAGTCAGGAACGCATCTTGCGGAGCGATCGAGAGGACAAGGGCGTCGAGGAGTGTATTTTCGAGGTGGCCAGTTTGGCCAACACACATTTGAAATTAACGCGCCAGTTGCTCCCACAAATGCCACGACTTGTGCGAAAAATCTTCCTGCCCGCCGTTGCAACTGATGGCTACTTGGAGCGTCTGCGTCGTGCCCACTTTCTGTGAGTGTAAAGGAGAATTAATTTTCGGTTTTTGTATGTTAATCATTTCCAACTTTTATTTATTTTAAGGCTAACACACCCTAGCTGCGTAAAACGGGACTCCTTGTTGCCGGCTCGCCTCTTCTGGAAGACGATATTTAACAAATATTAAGCTAATTAGTTTACAAAATGTTAAAATTTGTTTATTATTAAAGGCAGTTACATAAAATTAAATTGTTTGAAAATGTTGCCAAACGATTAATAGCAAAGTGGATAACCAACACTAGCGCTCAAGATATGTACATACATATATCGATAAATTGATATACATAGATTTCGATGTATAGTTGCTGGCTGTTTCTTGAAAGTAGCGCGTTGTGATTTTTTTTTTTTTTTAGTTTTTAGTTCAAGTGAGGAGTATCAAAATAAAGCATATGAAATGTGTCAATTTTAAAATTAATGTTCTACATTACTGTACCCATTGTGTGTTATAGCAAATTTTTCCTACGGAGCCGTGCGCCAGGCGCACTTCGAATTTTAAGCACCGTTTAGATTAAGTGAATCAAGCTAATTAAATGCATATATAAAAATATAGTTTGTATTAATATAAATATTTTATGGTAAGTGCCTAATCATACTATTTACATTATGAAGCTTAGTGTGTTTGTTTAGCTCTCTGACTTTTATTGCATGTACGCCATTTTTTCCAGTTCATGCTAAATACATTATACAAAAATTACCGCTCTCTATTGCGGTGCTTCACAAAATTAACGGAATTGTATTGTACCCTCTCACTCTCTCACACATTACAAGCTTAGCTTCAAGCTAATGGTGGGTCACAAGCAAAGCAACGAAGGATAGACAAATGCATACAAAAATAAATACGGTTACTTTTATACAGTGGTGTCCAATTCCAATAAGAACAGAGTAACCGATAAAAAGAAAAAATCTAACTAGAGTAAAATGAACTGAATAAATAAATAAACGACGTAAAGTACATGAAATTAAATCCAAAGTCGTGCTAATACATTAAATACAACATACAAATAAAAGGAATATAATCAAAAATAAAAACCTAAAAAAGTTATTAAAAAATATAAAAATTAAAATTAAAAAAAAAAAAAATTAAAAATTCTTAAAAATAACAAAGTTTTAAAAAAAATTAATTTAAATTAAATTAGTTTTACTTTAAGAGTAAGCGACATTTGCCTTGAGTCATTTTTTATACACAAAACTCCAAGTGCAGTCGACAAAAATTATCCTTAGGATTCTTTCTATGTATGCGAGCCGAGCAGAAATGAAAATCTTTGCCACAAATGTTGTTGTTGCCAGCGCAGCGGAAGCGACTGCTGCGACAAGTGCAACACCCACAACACCGGTGCAACAACACCAACAGCAGCAACAGCAACAGCAGCGTGAATATCGCTGTGGCGCTCAAGTCAAGTACAACAAATACAACAACAAGGCCAATAATATGCTGCGGCAGACCAAGTACAACAGCAGCAGCGGCAACAACAGCAACAATGGCGGCAGCAGCAATGCGGACAATAAACATGCCAAGCGCCAGCAACAGCAGCAGTCACAGCAGCAACAGCAACAGCAGCAGCAACAGCACTACAACAGCAACAACAACATGCACAATTTTTCACGCAAGAAATACTTCGGCAATAACAATTACAGCTGCAACCAACAGCAGCAGCAGCAACAACAGCAACAACATGCAACAGCAGCAGCAAAGCTCTCAAACAATAACAACAACAATGTAATGAAAAATCAAAACCTAATTGAAGAGAACGTCTGCAAGAACAGCAACGACAGCGACAACAACAATAACAGCAGCAACAACAACAATAACAATGCTGTCACAAAGTTGCAACCAAAATCAAACAACGGCAACGTCAAGAAACGCAACTCCCTCTCATCGTCAGCTGAATCGAGCATGTCATCTGCATTTTATCACAACTGTTCCGAGTCCTCAAACTCATCAACAACGAACAGTAACAGCAACAGCAACCCAAATGATGATGAGCAGCAACAGCAGCCGCAAGCAACATTATCAACACCAACTGAAACAGCAACAACAAAAGCTGCAAAGCAACAGCCAGGAGCAACAGCAGCAGCAGCACCAGCAACAGCTAACGCATTGCCCCAACAATCGGACAACAGCAACAAGGCGACGCAAAGATCTAAGCAACAGCCGCTGTGCTTCTGGAAGACGAGCTATCCACAGCAACCGACGCTGCAGCAGAAGGAAGTGAGCTAACTGTTAAGATAAGCCCTAGAATAAATATTGATATATAGTATATATTGAAAATTATAGGAAAAAGCACAAAATAGTCAAATATTAAACAGAATTTGTACTAGCTACCTAAACACATTGAAAATGGCAACATAGGGAGTAATGGTCATGTGAGAATGCAATAGGTAAAAGGAGGCGTGGCAGACCTTATGAAGTATCTATAGTCCTGCTCAGGGCAACAAGTTGAACCAATATAAGGCTAGATCCGCTTTTACGTCCGCTAACGACTTGAAATTATAAACGAATATTTGAATACTTGTATCGATAACTCATCTCATTGCACTGTCAACGATAATAATCGATAATGAGATTTAGTTTGAATGCTTCGTTGGAATACCTTAACAGCTAGGAATTTCAAATTTGTGATGGAGACAAAGTGTTTAGACGCCTGTCCCCCATTCTCACAGATTAAGGAAGAACGAATTTATAGATATCAGTATAAGGTTCTAGATTTGGGTAGAATGCTGAGAATCATAGAGTTCCAAGTAACTCCTTGCCAAATACACCCGATTAGAGTACGCTTCTTTGTTAATAATTCTAGCTATTGTTTGCTTTAATCCATTAATTTGTTATATATATTTTCTATGCTTGCAGAATGATATAAGATAAGATATTTCTATATAAATTCATATAATATATTCAATTTAAGGCAAACTTAAATTCCAAATACTATTGCAAACATGACTTAAGAAAAATGTTTGATTTATTTTAATATTTTCACGTGGTATATTTATCTTTCGGACAGAACTGCAAGCATATTGAAATCTTTGGTATACCAAAGATATTTTGAAACAGATTTGTATTCTTTTACTATTAACAATCACTTAAGTATTTCACCCGCTTGCTACAGCAGCAGTTGGAGGCGGCGCTGGCCACACAAAAAGAAACGGAACTGGCAATTGCAGCAGCAGCAGCTGCTGCTGCGTCAACACCAGCAACAGGAGGCGGAGGAGCGACAGCAGCAACAACTGATCAACAGCCGCATTATTATCCATATTATTGCTCGCAGCCCAAGCAGCTGACAATAGCATCATTTCTGCAAAAGGAGCTGCTACCCGATGCGGACAACACCAACAGCAACAGCAACAGCCAACAGCAGCAGCAGCATCATCAACAGCAGCATCATCATCAGCAGCAGCAACACAAGCAACAGCAGCAGTCGGGCACTTATCAGCAGCGTTATCGCAATGGCAGCTACAGCTACAACAATAATAATAATAATAACAATAACAACAACAACAACAACTACCATCATCAGCAGCAACAGTCGCAGCAGCAACAACAGCAACACCCGCATCATGCACAGCAGCAACATCAGAATCACATGCACAACACACACTTTCGGCGCAACAACAAGAAGCTGCACTACGGCAGCAACAGCAGCTGCACGCCAACAACATCTGCTCAGAAATCGATTGAGATTGTGAACGCCAGCAACTACAATGGGGCACATCATCGTCGCATGCCGAATGTTGCTGTTGCTGGCAATGGCAATCATGTTGCCGGCAAGAATGGCTACTATCAGCTGCATCATCATCATCAGCAGCAGCAGCAGCAACATCATCATCACCATCACCATCATTATCATCATTCGCTAATGCCGGGCAGCAACACGCCCACAAGCGCCGAGCATCAGAATTTCTATAATCTGACCTATGTGAATGTTGATTTGCCGGCAGCAACAATGCCTGCAACAGCAACAGCAACAGCAGCAGCAACAACAACAGCAACAGCTGCTGCTGCGGCTGGCAGCAATATGCTGTTAAAGCAACCAGCAAGCGAAACTCCGGCAGCAGTAACAGCAGCGACTGTGCCTGCAGCAGCAACTGTTGCAGCTGGCAGCAATCATAACATGTTTCTGCAGCCGCCGCCAACACTGCAATTGGGCATGCTTGGCCCGGGCATATTATCGCCGGCGGCCTTAACGCCGGATGCTATTGCGACGACGCCGACCAATATGATTAGCTGTGCGCAATTGGACGAGGCCATCACAGCGGCCGCTGCCAGCAGCACGGGCAACAGCAACTGCAACATCAACAGCAGCAGCAGCAGCAACAGCAACAGCGGCAGCAACAACAAGAACATGGATCTATCCAGCGTATTAAACGTGCCCAGTCCCACCTATGCTGCGCTGCCTTTCATGCTGCATCAACAACACCAACAGCAGCAGCAGCAACAGCAACAGTTGTTCCCGAACAAAACACAACAGCAGCAGCAGCAGCAACAGCAACAGCAGCAGCCACAGCATCATCAACAGCAACAACAGCTTTTCTTTAGCTTTGGCGATGGCTATAACGGTGCCGCCTGGTCCCATGCTAATTCGCCCTGCTATCCTCCGGCCGTATACGGTCCAAGTCCGAGCAGCATCTCGAGTGGCTCGGCCAACAATCGTGCTCCGTCGCATCGCGCCGTCTCGCCCGCCTCGTCCACGTGCTCGCTGGCCAGCGAGTCTCAATGGAGCAGCAGCCGCAGTCGGTAATTGATACTAGAAGATAACTCTACCCTATTAAGTGAGCCATAAGATAGATAGGGATAGAGAAAGAGGGCATATGCAAATATATACCTTGCATTTTGAGCTAATCTTGTTGAATATTATAAAAGGGATATACAGTAAGCTCCGATTATAACGACTCTCAAGGCACCGTCATTATACCCGGAAGACGCTATAACCGTATACGTTTGTCTGACGTCACAGTAACCGTACGAACGCTATAAGCGTAGTCGTTATAGCCGGATTCTACTGTATATGCCTCTGTCTCCATGTGTAGAGAAAATTTCATGCATATGTCTCTCAGTTTAATTCGATTTTTCATTGCCTTAACGTCTGTGATGAACGATTTGTAGGCTTACATCAGAGAGGATATATTTTATAAAGCTTACTATCATGATTTATATTTATCGATACTTTATCGATTGCTTATGTGAAAGCTGGCTATATCTGCTGTCATTAGATTATCAATTATAACGTTGGGAATACCACAAGAAATTTTCTTTTTCTAGTCGATAGCTCTAAGCTAAGCCGAATAACGGTAGTAGTCGATAATCTGGTGTTTACAGCTTAACCACCATTTCCGAAATGTTTTCTCCTTCTGCCTGCGAATATATTCATTTAACATTTCACACTGTTAGTTGATAACTGTACATCTTCTGATTCATTTGATTTCAAATTTCCATTTGCATTCCAATCCCCACTGCAGTCTAACATCCGCTGAGCTGTTGTCCGTTTCGCCAACGCCGCTCACCTCGGGTGCTGGCTCGAATGCCGGAATTCCGACAGCAAGTCAGCAGCAGATGTCGCCCCATGGGCTGCATGCGATGTTACCGTTTGGAATACCACCACCGCCGCCGCCAGCGCAATCCTCGTCGGCGGCAGGGGCAGCGCCACCCCCAGCACCACCGCCTCCACCAGCCAATCACAGTGGGCCATATCAGCACTATTGCGGCCCCAATTGCGGCTGCGGCAGTGCAGCCAGCGCGTCCTGGCCAGCCTCTTGGTATGAGCTGATACTTCCGCCGGATCGCTACTTGGATCATGCGCGTAACGTAGAGCTGACCATACAGCCCGAACAGCTGCTGTGCCACAGCAAGTACGACAATCTGTCGCTGGAGATCTGGAAACGATTTCGCGGGGCGCAGCAGACGCACGCCAAGTTCAAGCTTAAGATGCGGCTATGGCGACATCTATTCATCTGGATAAACGTGAGTCAGAGAAGAGCAGAGAGAGAGAGGCAGAAAGATGATTTCAAAATGTTTATTCTTCCAGCAGCCGATGTTCTCGCGATATCGCATCTGCCTGGTGGGCTCAACGATTACCGGCTTCGGAACGGACTCATCGGACATCGACATGTGCCTGCTGCCAGAGCATCAGACCCATCAACAGCAGCAGCATCACTACAACAACGAGCTGCGCGCCGAGGCGCTCATGATCCTAAATCTGTTCAATGCCGTCCTCAAGGAAATGGGCAAGTCTCCAGCCTAATCCTTGGCTCTAAGTCGCATCAGTTCAGCCATAGCATGCGATTAACTTGATCTCTCTCTTTTTATAAACAAATTTTTTAATAAGCTTTCGAGCGCATTACGTGCATTAGCTTTAAAGCTCTTGTTCACTTCAAGTTGCTTGTAATCCCCTAAAAGCTCTCGTAACTCTTTTCCTATTTATGAAGTTTGAAAGCTCATCTTCAGTGTTTTTTATTAAATAATGATGGCATTTTAATATCAATTTCATCGCATGCTTTAAACTGAATGAGAAAAGTTATACATACAGTTATATTAGATAACAAATTTATTTGATTGTGATGATTAATCCATTTTATTTTAGAAGCTTTTCAGGACTTCAATTTGATTGAAGCGCGTGTCCCGATACTTCGCTTTAAAGATCGCATCAATGGCATCGAAGTCGATCTCAACTATAACAATTCAGTGGGCATTAAGAACACATATTTATTGCAATTATATGCGCAGTGTAAGTAATCAGACTAAACTCATATACCCCACATTGAGGTACTTTGAATGTATATAACATAAGAAAGCTATGATATACACTATGCTATACAGTTAAATCCGGTTATAACGACTCCGCCTGTAGCGTCCGTACGGTTATTGCGACGGAAATTCTGGTTCCCACACAAACTTATACAGTTATAGCGTCTTCATTATAATCGGATTCTACTTCATATATGTATAAGTATTCCTGATGATCATATTAATGTGACCGATTATTCTCTCTCTTATGCTGCATAGTGGATTGGCGCACTCGTCCACTGGTGGTTATAGTCAAGCTGTGGGCTCAATATCACGATATCAACGATGCCAAGCGGATGACCGTGTCGAGCTACTCGCTGGTGCTGATGGTGCTGCACTATTTGCAGTACGGCTGTACTCCCCATGTGCTGCCCTGCCTGCAAGCCCTGTATCCGGAGAAGTTCAACTTGGGGCAGCAGGATTGCCTCGACCTGGACCTGATAGAGCCGATCGAGCCGTATCAGACGCACAATACCCAAACTCTCGGCGAGCATCTGCTGGGCTTCTTCAAGTACTACAGCAGCTTTGAGTGAGTGCTGATTCGAATAATATATGGAATATACAGATACTATATATTTCCATGTATATGTATTTGCAGCTATCGGAACAATGCTATATCCATACGCACCGGCGGCATTTTGCCGGTGAACGCCTGCCGGCTGGCCAAGAGTCCCAAGAACGATATACACCAGTGGAAGGAGCTGAATATTGAGGGTATGCCACATCTCCACTTCATTCGTCCCTCAGCCATGTTTGACATCATGTTCATCGTCTTCTTGCCAGAGCCCTTCGATCTGTCGAATACGGCACGATCGGTCTACGACCAAGCCACATTTGAGCGCGTCAAGGCAGTCTTTGTGGCCTCAGCACGCCGGCTGGAGCACACACTAGATCTGGCGGCCATATTCACGCCCATTCATTGTCAGCACCATCAACGTATCCTGAATCAGCAGGCGCTGTTGCAGCAGCAAACCCCACCTACCCAAATCCACTGTCACATCCACTCACACACCCACCCACACCCTCATCCACCCACGCACACACATACCCACCCACACACACACACCCACACCCATACCCACACCCACCCAGTCAGCCATCAGGCACATCAGCAGTTGCTGCACACACGCAATCCTGGCGTGGCCTTTGCGCCGCCATCCACACACCTTGTCTGATTGCCATCTATGGAAGATTTGCATCCAGGCACCTCCTTACCCACAGGTTAGTTGCAGCTGCTAGAGCTTGAGGGTAAAGAAGACTTTAAAAGAGAGAGAGAGAGAGAGAAAAAGAGTGATAAGTAATTGATAGACTGAATGCATATCCAATTGCCATAGCTCGTAAACTTTGCTGAGTTTTCAAAACAGTACAAAAGTAGAGCTAAATGTAATTGATCTGTGATACATATATACCTATATAGATATGTAGATATAGACAATCCGTGTAAAACTTATATAGACAGAAAAGCTGTTATTCTAGTGATTTTGTTCAAATTTACATGTGCATAGTTTAAGGTATTTATACATATATAGATAGATATATGTATGTATATATGTCGGGTTTGCGTCAATTTGATCATCTTCCATTTCAATATTATACTTTTTTAACTGATTCAAATAAAGAATTTCCTGTGTGCTCTCTTTCACACTGATGCATGATAACTTCTAGTCGTCTCTTTCGCATCTAATGACAGTCATAACGCTGATAGTCTAAATATGTAGCCGTCTCGCTCATACTCAGCAACATCCGAGGCTACATTCAGTTAACTATTGCTGTCTCTCTTTTACCAAGTGAAATGAAATATGTATAAATAGGATAGTGCACTTAAGACGCAAACTCGGATATTATAATAGGAGCTTGAATTGGAGCTTCTATAGAGAGCATCTCGACAAAAATTTAACAAAATATAGAAACTTAGATAACATCACAGTATATATGTTTATATATATCTTATATATTAACTATGCGCATCTAACAAAATCTTAAAAAAAAAAATTAGATAATGAATAAAACCCTAAGAAATCTGTCAATGATCATATATATATGTATATGCATTTCTTACAGACACACACACACACACTCTCACACACCCCCACACACACACACAMAATATTTGCGCTGCAAGAAATAAATTTTAAAAATCAACATCAACAAAACTAAACGCAGCAAAGAAACTAAAATATAAAAAATA